GCTAACCGCGCTGTTCGCAAAAATTTGGCATGAAGAGAAAGTGCCTTCCTCTTGGGGCGAATCAGTTATTGTCCCAATTTTCAAGAAAGGCGCTCGCACTTCATGTGCAAATCATCGCGGGATTAGTCTCATTTCAGTTGCCTCTAAGCTATTGGCATCCGTTCTGCTTCGCAGGCTATCCCCAGTACGTGAATCATACTACCGCGAAGAACAAGCTGGTTTCCGTCCTGGCCGCGGATGTGTGGAGCAAATCTTCACGCTCCGCCAGCTCCTCGCACATCGCCACATTTATCACAGGCCCACTATCATTGCATTTCTAGACATACGTGCAGCTTTTGACTCCGTTGATCGACCTGCTTTATGGCGTTGTTTACTAGAGAACGGGGTGCGAGAGAAATGTACCGCCATATTACGAGCACTTTACTTTCATACATCCGGCAGAGTGAGGGTCTATGGCAAGCTTTCCTCGCAATTCACTGTCAATAGCGGTGTGCGACAGGTTCGACTATGTCCCCATTCCTCTTCAACTTCGCAATCGAAGACGTTCTGTCGAATGCCCTAGAAGGTTTCCAACATTTTGGCTTAGAGCTTCTACCGGGTGAGCGCGCGACCGACTTAGATTATGCTGATGATATCGCCTTACTTGGTGACGATCCTCAGAGTTTGCAACTCATTCTGCATTGTTTGGCGCTTGAAGCATCTAAGTATGGCATGAGCTTCGCCCCATCGAAGTGTAAAATACTGCTCATGCATTGGCTTTCACCTGCTCCCGTGCTCACTCTCGAAGGTGCACAACTTGAACAGGTAGATAGTTTCGTCTACCTTGGGAGCTGTGTTTCTGCTGACGGCACTATCAGCAAAGAAGTTTCTCTTCGTATCGCTAAAGCTCGATCAGCATTTGTTAATCTGACGCACTTGTGGCGTCGTCACAACGTCTCATTCTCACTAAAGGGCCTCGTTTACAGCGCATCCATTTGGTAAGTATTGTTGTAGGGGAGCGAGTCCTGGCCGATTCATGTGGGAGACATGCGTCGTCTTTCTGCGTTCAAAAACGGTTGCCTAAAGAGGATCGCTCGTGTTTGATGGCAACATCGAGTTAATAGTAATGACGTTCGACGTCGCATCTTGGGGAATGCAAGTATTCCCTTCAACAAACTGGTTTTGTTGCGCCAGTTGAGATGGCTCGGTCACGTCCTTTGCATGGCACCTGTGCGTCTACTGCGTTGCGCTCTATTCGCTCGTGAAGGACCTGGCTGGAAGCGACCGCGTGGTGGTCAGCCTTGCACTTGGCGGCGACACATGAAATCGCTGACGTCGTGTCTAGCCGCTGTTGGATCCGTACGTCTTCCAGGATGGGGACCCAAAGATGAGGAGTGCCAATGGCTTAGCACTCTTGAAGACATGGCCCGCAACCGGAATCAGTGGAAGAATTGCGTACGGTATTGTATTGGTTCACATTTTTAATACTTCACATATTGCAAATGACAAAAAAGAGCAAAAGCGGCGTGTGACAAACAAACTAAAGATGTTTTGTTCTAGTTCTTGTCAATATGTTCCATTCTTCTTGCGGCATATTAGCTGAAGTGTGTTGCCTACCTTCAGCTAGCATGCCATGATGATTATGACGCAATAAGTGTCTCCTATCCACTGCTCTCCATGGCTTTGTTGACTCTATGTCTAGTTACTAGACTGTTGAGATTACTACTACTACTACTACTACTACTACTACTACTACTACTACTACTACTACTACTACTACTACTACTACTACTACTACTACTACTACTACTACTACTACTACTACTATGTGACGGTGCTATGGGAACCGTTAAGCAGTAGCTTTTTCACCCGTATAAAAATATTGTTCCATTGATCAACGGTATTCGTGATATTGCTAGACTCAACGAGTTGTTCATTCAGTGTGTACGTCTTGTATGCATGATTTTTCAATTAAACAGGTAGAAATACTGCCGTGTATGTTGACTCTGATGATACGTGGCTCCCATCCACATACAGGCGTCAAGCAACTTATGTCCCGGTTTCTGAAGATCTGACAGGAAGAAAGGGTCCCTCTTCCTGGAGAAGTCAATCATTGTTTCACTCTTTACGAAAGGTTCCCACACTTTGTATGCCGACTACAGGATCATTAGTCTATATTTCACCTCCAAGCTAATAGTATCCAACATGCTCCGCAGGCTAGCCCCCACTCGTTAATCACACTACCGGAAGCAGCAGGGTGGTTTTCTCCCCCGGTCCAGAATGGGTGGACAAAAAATTTCGCTTTTCGCCAACTCTTGGAGCATCGTCTTCTCTACCGTAGGCTCATCCTGGTTACATTCCTGGATATTCGGGCTGCCTTCGAATAGCTAGATCGACCTGCTTTATGGAACTGCCTGCTAAAGAATGGAGTTCCGGAAAAGTACGTCGCCATACTTCGCGGCCTGTACCTCCACACTTCTGGCCGAGTGAGAGCCTATGGCACGCTTTCCCCACTCTTCCCTGTCTCTAGTGGCGTGCGACAAAGATGCCCAATGTCACTTTTCTGTTCAACTTTGCGATCGAGGTTGTGCTTTTGAGAGTTTTAGACAGTCTGCTGAACATCGGCCTCCAGCTTGTTCCACGTAATCGCACGACCGACTTAGACAGCGCTGATGGTACCTCCTTGCTCTGTGACAACCCCATTGGGATGCAATCGTTCATTGATCGATTGGTGATTGAAGCGTCTAAGTTTAGTATTTGCTTTGCCCCCTCCAAGTGCAGCTTTTCTACAAGACTGCCAGGCACCTCTTCCCAAATTCACCATCGATGGCACACAGCTCGAAGGAGTAGATACTTTTATCTAACTTGGAAGGTGCATCGCTGCCGACGACACGATGGGAGCAGAGGTATTACTTCGAATCGCTAAAGTTCGGTTAGCATTTGCCAACTTGACATTTGTCGTGCCGTCACGACGTTTCATTCTCGCTAAAAGGCAGGGGTTACAAAGCCTGTGTACACGCGACATTGCTGTGTGGATACGAAGCCTAGCCGATCCGAGTTGAAAACATGCGTAGTCTTTCGGTTTTCAGCAGTAGCTGTTTGCGGAGGATTGTCCGCGTGCGCTGGCAACACCGAGTGTGTAATGATGACGATGGACACCATGTATTGGGTAAGGCGAATGTTCTGCCTTGTGATGTCGTCCGGCTGCGTTAATTGTGATGGTTTGGCTATGTCCTCCTCATGTCTAACGAGCGTTTACCACGCCGCGCCCTATTTGCGCACGCAGGGTTACTTTGGAAAAGGCCGCGAGGAGGTCAACCGTCCACCTGGCGCCAATACAGGAAATCAGTGACACCTTGCCTGGCCATCGCTGGCCCCGTTCGACTCTGCAGCTGGGGACCCAAATATGAAGAATACCCATGGCTCATAACGCTGGAATCACCGGCGCAAAACCGGTCGCAATGAAACCAATGCGCACAAGTCTACCTGATATCACGTTTATAAAAACACTAACCCTTAAAAACCGCAGCAATTAACAAAATGTTGTAGGAAAAAACCACAAAATCTTGTTGTTTTGTTTTGCATTCATAACCAACTTATTTTGTTTAATTTATACTTTTTATTACTCTCTATCTTTTGAGATAATATTCATGGTATTGCGTGGGCAGAATACTGTCAGGTTGCCCAAGCCTAGACAGGAGAACGATTAGGGTTCTCAACCAAAGCCTTCGGTTCAAAAACTTGACCGCAAGGCAGCGGGTTTGGCACTGGGCTACAAGGAGTCCGTTTTAAGGAATAAGGTGCCACCCTCATTCCAACCCCCAACCTGGAGGACGAGGATGCTGAGTTTGTCTGGCCTCTAACCATTGACCAATCTGGTAGGAATGGCTCTGAAGGTGCAAAAGCACCACCAAGTATAGCTCAATGGATTACTTAGGCACACAAACCATCGCACCACGGTAAGGTCCAGCCTCATTGCGACCATCGGTGCCTTCGCAGTTTGGCTCACATATGGTGGGAACACCGCGTGAGTAACGAGCGTGTTCGACGCATTGTTTACGGCGGAGGAAAAGGAACCGAACCGCTTAGCACCGTTATTTCACGCACCAGGCTCCGATGGCTCGGCCACGTGTTACGCATGCCAGCCCACCGACTCCCGCGACGTGCGTTGTTTGCTCACCGGGGACGTGGGTGGAAGAAAAGGAGAGGTGGCCAAGCGATGACTTGGTCCAGAGGAATGAAGTCCATCACTTCGGAGCTAGCCTCGGTCGGAGCTTCACGGCTCCCTGGTTGGGGTCCAAAAGACGGGGAACACGTTTGGCTGGATACACTTGCTGACATGGCAAGGAGCCGACCTCAGTGGCATTCCTGCTGTGAGTTTCTTTGTCCCTCCCCATCCGTTTTAGTCTCCCCCTCCATCTACGATCTCATTTCCTAGGGTAAAACATAATTAAAAATATTTTTTTCTTCTTTTTGCCTAGTAGCTGGCTGGAAGCTTACCGGAACGATGCCTATCCGTTGCTGGTAGCTCAGCTGGCATGCAACTGTTGTATCTATTTTTCCTTTGTGTATTGTGTTATATGTATATATGTATTTCTTTCATGTATTGCGGCACAATAGCGGAGGTGTTTTCCCACCTCTAGCTGATGTGTATAATGATGATGAACGATGATTATTCTTCATTTTAAGCTCTGTGATTTTGAATGGCTCGAGCTCTATTCTATAGACTGTTGCCAATATATATCCACATGCCTGTTGGTCTTTTTCCTTCAGGTTTGCACTATATATGGAGTATGTGAATGGAGCTGTGAGCGATGCGGCGCAAACCACTCACGGGTCTCTCAGTAGACAAAGACTTCCTGTTACCGTTCGCATCCTCAGTGTTTGGCAAATACGGAGGCGGATGCCATCAACCATATAAGGAACACGGGTAGCCTTCCGCGGCTGACAGATATTGACCACAGGTCACATGATTTCGGTTAACGTTGTGTTCGAAAGTGCTTTGTGTCACATGAATTAACATTGCCCAGTTAATCAAAGTAGTGCAACAACCCGGAATAGATCAGTAATTTGTGCACTAAAGCAATTGTCACTCTGCCAAGGTTAATCTGAACTTGGAGGTAAGGCTTCATTTTCTGTGTGTGCTTTTATGTTCTTTTATGATCATCCCTTATCCCATATGACTGGTAGTTGTTATTGGCATCGGTCAGTATTCATATTCATTAATGCAGTAAGAAGACAGAGGTTGCGATATGTTAACATTTCGATTGCTCTCGTCAGTCGCGACGCAATACAGACAAGACAAAACACGCAATATATAGGGTCCACACTTAGTAACAAAGATGATAAGAATGATAAGAATTACGTAATCAGGTCCAAGGCAATCTAATTGATTGCCTCAATTGTTTCTGGGCACAGAGGACGGGACAATTCAACCTTATCAGTAGCGCCTCGCCAATTGCCAACAACCTCGGGTTTCTGTTGCGCAATAACACCTTGAATGAATCGATTGGGTTCACCTGGTGACGAGTGGTCATGAGGTGTTTGGTGATAGACGAGGTAGGGATCCGGTTCATTCTTTGGTCCGCTCGGCCTTGGTTAAACAGAAACTGCCTTAGCCACATTGGGAAGTGTTCCGCCATCCTTTGAGCCAGCCGGCGACCAGTCTTGCCTAGGTAAGTGTCACCGCAACTGCAAGTGAACTGATAGATGATGTTAGAGGCCGAACTGATTGGCGAGCTACTCGGACGGCTCTGGAGAGGAATCCTTCGTGTAGTGTGGATAAGTCGTAGTTGTGCGGTAGAGTAGGTGCGCGTTAGAGCGGACTTCAGCTTGTGACCAACTTCATTTGCCACGTGATCCCCCTTGAACGGTAAGAATAAATAAATATCCTTCTTCTCCGCTGTTTGTACTGACAGTTTCTCCTTCGGGGTCTGCTATGAATCTGAATGAATTTTTCCGGATACCCATTGGCTAGCAAAGTCCAGTATAAAAACTCTTCTTCAGCCTTGAGCAATTCCGGACTGCAAATCCGCATGGCTCTGTAGAAGAGAGTTTTTACGAGGCCGCGCTTGTATGCGACCGGGGCGAAGCTGGAAAAATGTAGGTATTGTCCACCCCAGGTCGCTTTTCTGTGCACAGTGCGCTGCAGTGTGCCATCGGTCCTTCTTTTGATGAGCACGTCCAAAAACGGCAGTCTGTTCTCTTGTTCCCTCTCCTGTGATACAGAAAGGTTAGGATGAATTGAGTTCAGGAGGGTAGAAACGGCCAAAATGTTCCTCATTGGTGAAGACGAGAATATCATCTACATAAAGCTTGTAAAGCTTGGCTTCACCAATGCAGGCAGCAGATTTCCTTTCAATCATACCTAAAAAGATACCTGCCAAAACTGGTCCCAAAGGACTACCCATAGCAACGCCGTCAATCTGTTTGTATGCCGTCCCTTCAAACTGAAATCGCACATTCTCAGTGTGTTTTGTCTTGCCTGTATTGCGTCGCGACTGACGAGAGCAATCGAAATGTTAACATATCGCAACCTCTGTCTTCTTACTGCATTAATGAAGTGGCTGAAGGGGACTCAGTGTTTCAAGTATTCATATTGCCCGCAAGTTCACATTGCACGGTAGAGACTGGTTGTTCTGAGTGGAACCATTCTGTTTGCAACACAACTAATGTGAATTAGTCTGATTAGGTGTGATACAACGTCATCGTGAGGACAAGTCAAGGCGGTCTATATTGGGATGTTTTGAAACCACCTCATCTCCTTAAAGATCGAAAGATGACGGAACAAATGTAACCTCAATTATCAAACACAAACAAGGTTGCACCTTTTTTTCTGCAGTTAGATATATGATATCGGCGAAATGATCATTAAACTAGACAAAACACGTCGGACAAGCAGTTGGATGCCGAAAATTACAAATATAGGCCGCTATTGGAAAACACACGTTTCCGGGGTAGGTGCCAAAAACAGTATTCTGTTATACAAAATGAAACGAGTTTTATGGGTTTGGGTGAATAGTTAAATTCCGTACCTGTCAGTTGCGCATTTGAGTGGGAAAAAGTCGTTTGTTCGCTCTTGGTGCGCAGCTGCAAGCTTCGAATGTCACTTCGGGTACACTTGACCTGGATTTTACTAAAGTTGTCTGTATGCTTAGCAATATGAGTTTTATAACCAATGTTGTTTGGTCCTGAAAAATGAAACTCATACAGCCACAGGGTTAGTTAATAATGTGCTCTGAAATCGGCAGAACTACCCATATAATGGGGTTCATATATGGTGACCGTGGCGAAGTGAACTACCCATAAGTTATATATATATATATATATATATATATATATATATATATTCATTACAATCTGTGTACAGATATTGTAGCATCGGAACCATGGCGAAATAGGAAAACTGGGTTAGATTAACTGAACAAAGAGAATAAACCATCTGTTGTCCATTTTTCACTTGTAGGTTTTGCGTATTTTATGATTTTTATTGGAGGAGGGAAGGAGATTATTCATCCATGGTTCGTCAGTGGGCGAGATACTACCCGGTTGTCCAGGCCAAATTAGAGGATTGTCTTAGGGGGCCCCACCCCGAGCCTTTGATCAAGGGTCTAACATCCAAGGCAGGAGGGCGATATGAGGGTAGCGCAACCCGTTGGGAGCCGGTGATCAAACAAGTGCTTCATATGCCATTAGGACCGCATAGGACGAGGGACCCAGCACATGCTTGAATTGCAATGCCACTCAGAGAGAGGCAAGAGGCAGTGACTTTATTTAGTGGCAAGTCCGATCCGTCACGTCATAGTGTTGTTAAACGGACGTATATGATTTTTAATAGGGTGAACTCTTGCCAGAAGAAAAACTCACCACGTCTTGGAACACTGCCGCTGAAGCATTTGGTGGAACGCGAAAAACCTGAACCACCACTCGCCACTAAGTAAAGTCACTGCCCCTTGCCTCTCTCTGAGTGACATTGTAATTCAAGAGTGTGTATGAATGTATGTAATCGCAACAGTCCATCAACTAGACAGAGAGTCAACATAAAATCATGGAGATCAGCGGATACGCAAGATTCATCGCGTCATAATCATCGTGGCATGCTAGTTGAAGGTAAGCACCACACTGCAACTAATATGGCGCAGGAAGAATTGAATATTTGGGCCCCTCATCCTATGTGATCCTAAAGGTATATGAAGCACTTGTTTGGTCCCCGACACCCAACGAGTTGCGCTACCCAAATATCGCCCTCCTGCCTTGCTGGTTATATCCTTGATCAAATGCTCGGGGTGGGGTCCCTTAAGATAACCTTCTACTTTGGCCTGGGCAACAGGGTAGTATCTCGCCAACTGACGAAGCATTGACTTACAACCACAACCATTCACCCACTCTCTAGCTGCTAACATGCTATTCACTTATGTTACTATGCCAACTTCACAAGCACATTCCAGCATTTTATCAACACTTCACTTGTACCATTCACAACCCTTTTTACCTGATTCCTCTATAGCGAGCAACCCCACCTACGCCGATATACCTGTTCCCATGACATCTGCCTACTCAACCACACAGTGCTCAACAGAGAGATGTCAGTCACAAAGTCTGCTATCTCTGCTTCTGTAATCCGGAAATCAGTTCAAACTTGCAGCCTTCAACGTACGCACATTACTGTATACCGATCAGCAAGTTGGACTTGCGCGCACGCTAGAGACCCTTGGAAGTGATATTTGCTGCCTGAAGGAAATACGACTTCAGGACTCTAGCTCGGTCTACCAGCTGGTGTCAGCGCTCCACCCACGCACCCGGTTCCATCTCCGCCTCTCCTGTGACGCTGAGTCTGCCGCATCTGGGCAAGCTGGTGTTGGAATCGCCTTCAGTGCTAGAGTCGAGACTGCTTTGATTAACTGGATTCCAATCAATAGTCGCCTCCGTGCGATGAGGCTCCTTGCCTCTTGTAAAATAAGCAGACGTCGAGTCGAAAAGCGTGCTCTCTACGTGATCTCTGCCTACACGCCCACTGACTGTAGCTCAGACACCGTCAAAGACCAGTTATACCGGAACCTATCTGAGCTGTACCTAAGGGCTCCTAAGACAGACATCATTGTTTTGGCAGGAGACTTCAACGCACGTGTTGGTCTTCTGTTGCCATGTGAGCGCCACTTCGTGGGACCTCATGCATATGATGATGTTCGCTTTGACAACGGAGACAAAGCGTTCAGTCTGTGGGCTGATCATCAGTTACTCCTACCTACTATCAGCTTTCGGCATCCTGGACATCAGTACGCCACTTGGTGCCCCCATCATCAACCCAGCGCCGGTCACAGATTGCCCACATATCTATAAGTCGCAGGTGGCGCGGCAGCGTACTCGACTGCCGATCATTTTGGTTAACATGGGTGGACACCGATCATGCACTAGCATGCGAGACTGTTTGCATGCGTTTCGGTAGTTCGCCTAGGTCAAAACACACCCGACTGAACACCTACAAGTTAGAGGACCGAATGGTGAAGAACAGAGGCTTCGTGAAAAGCTCCCTCTCTCTCGCACTTTGTATGTTTATCAACACTGGTCAAGTCTGCGACAAGCTTTGCTCTCGGCCGGTTTGTCCAGCTGTGGCTGCACTCGCTCCACTCCCAAAACATGGATCTCGGAATGTTCCTCAGAATTGCTGGATCGTCGACGGGCGATGCGTACTGGCTCAGAGTAAAACGAACACCGCCCGTCTATTACGCAACAGCTGAAATCAAGTTTTCGCTCTGCTCGTGGATCTTGGTTGTCAAAACAAGCTGGCAGCTTCCGCCGTCTATTTTACATCATCAGGGTCACCAGTTGTAATTTCCACGCTATCAGCCAGACGATTTGCGAATCAGACGGCACGAAGATCACCAACCTTCACAGGCGATTGGGTCGCTGGGCAGAGATTTCGCTCTTCAATTCAGCCACGCAACACAGCCCCCTGTGACACCTCCACCCCAGTGGATGATGCTTGGCCTGTCTCCACAACCCCCCCCCCACAAATGGAGAAGAGAATCGAAATGTAATCCAATCTTCAATACGCCACAAAGATGCGGGTTCCGACAGCCTACCACCGACTCTATTCAAAAATGGTGGGAGTGTACTTGTT